ACGATAACCAAAATAATATTATAACTATAAAGGAGGAATAAAGGACAAAGGACTAAACTGTTACCTGAAATATAATTTTGAAAGTTATAACAATGTTCCACTTCTTATCTTTATTATTATTATTTTTTATTTAATTATTTTTTTTCAATGTTAAAATAAAAATAAAGACACAAAAATTATAAACACAAAATGGTATATAAATACCAATGAATGAGTAATGTAGTGCAAAGAAAAAGAGCCATCGCATTGTATTGTATTGTATCGCATTGCATTGCAATTGCATTGTAATGTATAAAATTAACTCGTTAATATTCGTACTAAACTGCAACGAAGCGGCAAACTAATTATCAATACCTTCTGAACTCCCTTCTCTTTGAACAAGTATAAACGCTGGTATTATTCTCAAACATTTGTTATTCTATGTAACATGTCAGAGTAATAAATAAATTTATCAATTATACTATGCAGTATAATTGATAGACCACTCACCTAGTGTATTTAATAATTATTCTGTAATGTAATTCAAGTTTCAATCACAAAAGTTAAGGTATAAATTACTGCTTAAAGTTTTAACCATGATGATAGCACTATTATTTACTCACTGATGGATTCAGTATTCATACATTAATCATTATAGGATAGATAATGTGTTTTATTATTTATTTCATAACACAATTTCACATTGCCAACTATGCACTACTTTGTTAACAATTAAGCACCGATTTAACAACCTGTTTTAATCATTATCATAATGTTAGCACTATTATTTACTGACTGATGGATTCAGTATTCATACATTTATCATTACTAAATACTGTATTTTCCTGATTTTAATTATTCGTACACTAAATGAATAATTAATTATTCATAAACAAATCAATATGTGCCAACACTCTATGTATTCAGTTGTAATTAAAATAAAACATCTTAAATGCTTATAAGGTAAGATTACACCATAATGATAATGTATAAAACCATACAGTGTAGTTTTAATTTATAATAATACTTCATTATCAGCTGTATATTCAGATTAATAGATTTGTTGCAATATCGTAATAAACACACTTCACTTTTCCATAGTAAAATCAGCACAAATTATAACAGTTAATAATAATTGTTCAAAACTTACCAGATGCCCCAGATTATGGCCTTACACGGGCAGAGCGTTCGTCGCGGTAGCCCACTTCTGAACTATAAAAGTCCAGAAGTAAAACACTTGATTGTACTTACAAACCGTTTATCATTGTTTATAATCGTATTCCCAATGACAGTTGATATCTTGAACCTTCTACGTCGCAGCCAAAAGTGCCGCCCCCGTCAAAAATGGCCGACCTCCCGTTTTTTGAAACGTCACTCATGTCATGAGTGACGTTTCTATTTTTTAAATTATCGTGGTCAAGGAATAATATCAATAATTTTGATATTTGTTAACAATATTGCCATAGTTAACGTCATGTCTGTCTGTTTTAAAAATCAAGAATGTGTCGTCAGCAAACATGGCTTTCATAAAAGCACTTTTGACGTATTTTCACATCCTTATTTGGATAAAGATGTGAAAATACGTCATATTATAATAATTGATTAGGATCAAAAGGAATCACGAGCTTAAATCCATGTACAGTCGATGCACTAAGATAAATTATCCTCTAACTATTCTGTTCTGCGTAGATTAGTGAGAAAAAAGCGTTTTTTTTTTTAGTACTATTAAGTGAAGGGACGAACAAATCGTGTGCCTGATGATAAGCTACACGCCTGTCCGTAACAGTTGCAGTGCCACTCGGAGCTTTAAATCGCTAAGATCTGAAAGCCACTGCGCCTGTCACCCTTTTGTGACATAAGTTAACAAGTCTCACATACCAGTAATTTCACCAGAAGCAGGTAACGTGGCAGTAATTCTCTGGACGAACTCTTTCACAAGCAAGCCTACTGCTATTATGGTAATTAGAAGCCAAAACAACAGTATTAATGAACATGCAGTGTAGATTTACTTTATTTTTATATGAACTACAGAACTCCCAAGTCAACACCAACTGGTGCATGGCGAGCGATTTTTTTAACAACAAAAGTAACAATAAATAATGTCCGATGGCAGGTGAGGAAAGGTCGTTTGGTTTGGGACAAAAACGATTCACGTCTTGACTTTGGTCAGTTTTATCTTCTAACAAAATATGCCCCCAGAATACCGTGAAATAGTTAAGGGAAATATCTGTTTAGAACTGATATTACGTATGTCAACTAGCTAGCTAGAGAGCTATTTGGCGTGGGTAAATTTTGATAAGGTTTTTTTAAACAAAAAAGTGTTAAATGTAACACTTTTTATTTATTTAAAAGGAATATCAACTGCTTAAAATTATATTAAAGAATAATAATAACAACTTAGAACCAATTACAGATCCTCATAAGTAGAATTATAATAAGAAACCTAGATGCATAACTTAACTAACTTATTACACAAAATATAACTTGTTATGCAAAACATAAAAAGGTCAATGTAGTTGCAAGCCTCCTATGAGTCAAAGAAATGACCACTCGGTGCTTTCCTTGTCGAAAATCACCTTCATATTGAAAAGATTATGATCAAAAGTATTAAACAGAGTGTTAAAATTATATCACGCCACATAAACTTATTCCAGCGTACCACAAAAATTTAAACCTGAAACAGATGGAGATCAAATTTGTTTATTTGCGTATTTTTTTTAAAGATAACCACGCCTGATTAAGTAGCTGACAGCTGCTACTAACATTAAGTGATCTAAACTATTCTACTTTAATCGTTATGTAGAACTTGTAAAAACCAAAAATAATGTCACATTTCTTAGCGGTAGCATCAACTCGATAAACATGCCCGATATCAGGTATAAGGACTTTTTAGCAATTTTTTTGGTAGCTCGTTAAATGAAAAAGACCAGTTTCGGCGCCGTTTGTAGTCCACCGCCCCGCACGGCCCCGGACGGCCGTCGTCGGACGGTAGCTGTGCGTTATCGCACTAATTAATCTGCGTGTTTTGCCCGACTCACCAATTACCGATGCGTATACTGCGCCTGCTTCGATTGAGATGTATCCCGGATGCGTGTGATCTATGATTATGACGTTCTGCTTAATAAAGTAATTTGGAATTTATCTGTTAATTTATAATATTTCTCCATCTTTCTATCTTGCACAGTGCGGTGGTGGCCGCTTATAACTTTGGCTGTCACTGCCTTGGGTAGACTGGAATATATCTCTTTTAGAGATAATATCACCTTTGTTCACCGTTTACATAGTAATTAATATTTATTTTGTATTTGTTTCATGCAAAAAATAATATATATTATAACTTTTTTATAAAAAAGACCTCAAAACTTCGTGGATTTATTTAGGTAGGCGTGTCGCTTATTGCCAGACGCATGATTTGTTTGTCCCGTCACTTGATATTCTAGGTATAGAGTACTAAAAAAACCGACCTTAAAAGTGCGTGGAATTACATCTATTTGCCAAGTTTTATTGAAATCGGTTACCGGACAGTGAGCGAAACCGGATTCATCCCCTAGTTTGCCACCCTTAGAGTTGGAATATTTTCTTCAAATTTAAATGGAACCGATACTGAGGTATTCTCTTTCCAACAGAAAAATAATCATAGAAATCGGGTGCCGGAATAATCGCGTAACAAACGCTAAAAAAAACAATCGGATTGTGAACCTCATTCTTTTTTAAAGTTGGATACAAATAGTTTCATTTCGAGTTCTTAGGTTTTCGCGATTGTTACACATAGGAAATGAAGCTATTTTTCCGGATTAAATATATCGTATATATTTGTTTTTTCAAACAAACCGACGTTTCGGGCCTTTTGCAGGTCCCATGGACACGGTTGACTGAAGTGGTACAAGTCTTCTGCAGTCTGCGAGCACATCCTGGATAAACCTACACATTCTATGAAGTTTGACAAAACCCAGGTCCTTGCAAAAGAAGTCCGTTATCTACCCAGGATGCTGCGAGAGGCCATTGAAATTAAAAAAAACATCCTAATTTCAACAGGGAAGACGGATTCTCCGTACCGCCAGTTTGGGATCGAGTATTTCCTCTGTTGAAAAATCCCAAACAGACATAAGACTGCAGTACTAATTAATATGTTTTAATTTATTCTAATTTCCATTATTAATCAATAATAAAATTAACTTAATAAAATTCATAGTTACAATAAAATAATTTGTAAAACAATGCAGCGTAAATTGGAATGTTTCTTTGTAAAATTAAAAATAGGGTATTTAATTCATAACTTTTGTAACTAAAGTGCAAAAATAGGGTGGTTTGCATTAATGTTAGACATAACTGGTTGAAGACTGTACCCCCTCAGTCAACCGTGACCATGGGACCTGTAAAGGGCACGAAACGTCGGTTTGTTTGAAAAAACAAATATACGCGATTTAAATCCGGAAAAACAGTTTCATTTTCTAATAGTTTCATTTCTAATGATTCTTAACTGTCGACCAAGCTAAAATACAGCCTTAATGCTATAACTTAAACACAGGTTTATGAAACACTGTAACACTTAACCTGAGCATTGTTATAATCGTGACTAATAAGCAATAATAATATTCCACCATAAAATATTTATTTATGGTGTACATTCATTCGAACAAATAAATACATTTCTTATTCACCTTTTGTAAAAAAAAGTCTAACCCTTAGAATATTTTAAACGCTGCCAAAATCGATTTGAACCCGCGTCACATTGCGAAATTTAAAAAAACGAATTCATGAATGAATGAACGAATGAAAGGTATTTCTTTATATGTAGATAATTATGTCACCATTTCTGTGTCAAAGCAAAATATTGCTAATTTAAACCGATATTTATATCTTGGAGAGCATTTTTTAAAATAAAAAGATTATTTATTAAGACGTACTTTTTTGTTTTTCTCCCATCCGTTTTTTAATTTTGACGTTAGCACAAAAAATAGTAAGTACCATTTCATATAAAAAAAGTTTACGTTAGAGACTTAACTTAAAATTTGTCAGCTTCTATGACATCATGCTTCTTTCTATTTCTTTCGACTTTTCACGAATCGGACTTGTTTGTCAACTTCGCTTTTACGTGACACATGTAGACTGTCCAGACAAAACTTGCTATACTCACGAAGATAATCCTGTTCTTTGGTGACACAAAATAGAAATTGATAGTTTGTACTGTAGGCCAATACACTAATCCTAATTTATAAGTCGGCCACAGCTTTTCTTTTAATTCAATGACACAAGCTTCATAAGGCTTTCCTTCCAGCATACACATGCCAAAGAAGAAATAGGACATAGCAAGAGGCGCGTAGGTGCAGGCTTCTAATGCTGACCTTTTCAGTGCCGTAACCAGGTCTTTCTTCGGGAAGAGTCGATCGTTGAGCCTCATCCAGTTGTAGAATAGAGGTGACATGAAGAATGCGCCTAATATGAATGAAGCGTTGATTAAAATGTGGATCAATCTCAGTCGGGTTGGTATCAGATTGACGTGTTTTCTTGTGGATGTCGAAGAACTCGGCTAAGGGATAAAACGCCTTACATTTCCCATATATTTGTGATTTTTTTTATGACTGGATGAACAAGTCGAGCGTCTGATGGTAAGCGACACGCCTGACCACAGTACTTGCAGTGCGTTGACAAGTTCCATATGCCTGTAATTTCACCAGCAGCTCTACCCTTCAAAACCGGAATGCAGTAAGGCTCACGTTAGCTTAGTGGCATAAATAGGCAAGGTGGCAGTACTTCCCTGGACAAACTCTTTCACAAGGTGCTCTACTACTACTAAAAAAATTCATCCAGAGAAGTCTATAAAGCTTTGAATGGGCAACTGTTACAGATAAGCTTGTCGCTTACCACCTAATTTACAACTTCTTCGTCTCAGCACATGGGACTTGTCAACTTATGTCTCAGGGTGACGGGCGCAGTGGCAGCACCCCTTAGATCTTTGCGATTTAAAGCTCTGAGTGGCATTGCAACTGCTACGGACAGGCGTGTCGCTTACCACCAAACCCACGTCTTTTCACGTCACTTAGGGTCGTATTCCAGAACTCTACTCAATGCTCAAGTCAGGACTTGAGTATGATTTAAAGCACTAGAAATCATACTCAAGTCCTTGCCATTAGGGTCGTATTTCCAATGCTTTAAATCATACTCAAGTCCTGACATTAGCATTGAGTAGAGTTCTGGAATAGGACTCTTAGTGTCATCAAAAAAATAACTCTTTCACAAGGAGTTCTACTGCTACTAGAGTGTTGATACTGTACCATATCAACATATTTACGTATCACAGCTAAATACGAGTCTCTCTAAAACAGCGAAGATCGATGTTATTAACCAACGAAATTATTCCACGTACCAAAGAAGCCGAATCTTGCAGCTCTTGCCCAGTCGGCATTGTCTGGTGTTGTTCCATGCAGCAAGTACTCCTCAGTGACGCTAGACGCTGGCCAGATAATAGCATACGACACCATGCCACGTATTAGGTTGTATGATATCGGGGCCATTTCCTCTGCATCATGTAAAATGACACACCATTCATGGGAGTATATAAGTTCTTAGACGTGACCTGCAAAACATGTAACCCAAATTCTTTGATATACCATCGTAGGTTGATAAGGAAGGTATAAATACTTAAAAACGTATTTTAGGTAATTTCAGTATAGAGTACTAAAAAAACTGAAAAGTTCGTGGAAATGCATCTAATTGCCAAATTTATTGAAAACGGTTACCGGAAAGTGCCCAAAATCGGTTCTTCCCCTAGTTCGCCACTATACGGGACTTAACACAGGAGATAATAAACATCGGTGCTAACTGCTTAAAGTGTATTGTATTGTATATATATTGAGAGAAAAACGCCTTCAATTCGAGCATAGCAAAATTAACCATTAAAATAATTGCTCCTTATAAAATTTAGGCGTTATTATAAAAATAAATTTTCATGCGTGAACAGAAAATATTCCACCCTTAGAGGTGGAATGTTTTCTTCAAAATTAAATGGCATCACTACTGAGGTACCCTCCTTCCAACAAAAAATGAATCGTAAAAATCGGTTCACAAATTTAGTTAGAAATTTATTTTAGAGGACACAACGTTTAATGCTTAAGACAAAAATGAAGAAATATACTTAGAATAATAACGCATAGAAACCTAGTCCGCACACGCTAAGTGAGGCAAATTGAAGCGCACCCAATGGGCCTACACGAGCGGGCGGGCCTTCAGTGCTTAAGGTCAACTTGCACCGCGAACAGATCAAGAATTTTAGCTAAAAATGACGAAATGTGCGGTAAATGAGTGTAAAAATACGTCAGACAACTACTCAACTTGTATTTTTATATAAATATTCACTAAAACCGAAAATTAACCTACTACTAAAACTAGCCTACATGAATTTGATTTTTGCCTCACTTGTGACAGTTCGTTTGATATGAAACTATCATTCTATGCGTTATTATTCTAAGGAAATATATGTCTATTTCATGTTAGAAAATCATGGATTTTTTTTATAATATCAAGTGACGGGACGAACTAGTCGTGCGCCTGATGGTAAGCTACACGCCTGTCTATAACAGTTGTATAACTCAGAGCTTCAAATCGCAAAGGTCTAACGGGTACCGCCACTGCGCCCGTCACCCTGAGACATAAGTTTACAAGTCCCATGTGCCTGTAATCTCACCAGTACCCTTACCCTGCAAAACCGGAACACAGTAATGCTCACATTACTGCTTGGCGACAGCAATAGGTAACGTAATTAGAGGTGCTTAAGCAAATCTGAAGTCCTAACCTTAAGTGACACATACTCGTACTATATTCTGTTTCTATAATTTTCCTCTAACTTTATTTTCTTCTTCTTTCAGCTTATGGTGGAGTTCTTTTCAGAATTTCTGAATAATATGGAACAATATCTAGTGTTAATTAATAGCAAATAAATGGCTATTTTATTTAATGCATTGCAATAACCTCGCTTTGAATTTGATGTCAGTTTGACATAAATGTTTTTTTTAAGTCTCAATTTGCGAGAGTTTAATGACGAAACGAATTCTTCTCTTTAGAAATAAGAATCTGTCATGCTCATGATATATTCTTTTCAACCGACTTCAAAAAAGAAGAAGGTTCTCAATTCGAGAGATTTTTGTGTATACATATATGTTAAGCCGAGTTTACATTTGTCTGCCATGCCTTGTCGTGACCCGTCAGAACAGTATCGAAAGCTAAAGATGAGAAAAACCCGTCAACAGTGTACTGCAACTGTCGTATGTTTGGGTTCAAATGATTCGTTTAGACGAGGATGTTATGCGTTTCAGTAAGACCACGGTAGACGGGTACCACGACCCGAGAAACATTTTTAGAAATAAAAATTGAATTAGTCAAATTCAAATCCAAACAACAGGTACATATTAATTTATATTATTAATTTTAACTTACTACTATGTAATAACTCAGTGTACTGTAGTACAGGTAGCTTAGGTTTTGTATTTAGAATTGTAAGAATAATAGAGTGTTGGTGTCAAACAGACAACTAAGAGTTCTGGACAAAGCTTCGAAATTGTATACATGTATAAAGTTATAATTATGATATAATCGTCGTTTATATTTATAAAGTATATATATATATATATTCTTTATTGCACCAAACAAATCAACAGAAACAAAAAAAATAACATAAGGTAAGCAAAGGTGGACTTATCTCTAAAAGAGATCTCTTCCAGCCAACCCAGGGCAGTGAGAGCAAAGGTTTTAAGCGGGGAACGGCGTGCAAAAGAGATAACAAAAGATGATAATCTACATGTGTAAAATATGCATATATAAAATTACCGTTAAATAATTAAAATAGTATATAAATGAATAGACTACATAACGTATAATACATTGTATCAATAAACTTACACATATACAAATATGATGATTATGATGAAGTACCATATCATATTCCAGGAGATATGATGACATGCGTAAGTTAGGTTAACTAGATCTACTCCTAGTTTGGTAGACAGATTATCTGGTAGGCAGTATCTGGTGCATGTGAATAAGTTGAAAGGGTTCTATAGTAGACAGTTTAAAGATTTTCAGTTTCTAGTAGGTTGTTTATATTTTATTGTTAAATGTTTGTTAATCTTTTGTGTTTGTTTTTCATATGGAGCCATGACGACGGTGTGTCTTGACGAATGTTTTGATGATTTTTTTTCCGGCGAATGCAGACGATATAAGGACGGGAGGAGAAGATGGACTACCGACTTGGAGGAATATAACTTATTTTTTATTTTTCATTTTATGGATATATTATCCTGTATGTGCATAGTTGTTGGTCATTCGTCCAGATGAACAGGAACTGTCTACATTCAAGGGAAAATATATTTGTTTAATTATTTGAAATCCTCCGTATGATATATCGCCATATCATATTGGTGTTAGGAAATGTTGTTACGATAATTTGCGTGTTGTTTTAATTTGTTCAAAGAAAGTAAGAAAGTTTGGTGGAACGTGGATATGGATATGGATGTTCCCCAGTGGATGCCCGATGGGTGCTCAAGCCTGTGACGTCGTCGTAACAGCGTGCACGATGAGGATTGTTATTTAATTGGAATTATATAAAGATTCTGGTTGGATTTATGTTAGGTAGGAAGCTTGAATAAAGAATTAGGGTTTTATAGCTGGGATACCTAAATAGCTAGGATAGCTAATAAATATATTTAGATTGTTTGTTTAGGATGTGTTCATAGTCTGTCCTTTTAAATAGGTTTTTGACAGAAGCCACAGTCTTTTCGGTGGTTTTCTTTGTTAGTAAGTGATAGCTTCTGAGTGGTGTGAGGCTAGCCTATAGTAAAGGCTGATCACATATGTATGTTGCCTGCCATATGATGTGGTAACAAGTAAATCGAAGCAAATTTTGTAAATGCAAATGTAACTCTGTGTATTACATTTTCAATCTAAACCGCGTAACCAATTTTGATGAATTTTGGTATAGAGGTAGATGGGACTTAGGACATTTTTTTAAATATAAAATATAGGTGAGCATTTGACTTCCATATCACCTGATAGAAAGTGATGAGGAGGTCGACGATGGAGCATGCACACCTAAATAATGCCTATTCACTCTCGCCTTGAAAAGGTCCAAGTTATAACGTTCAGGGAACAAGTCTGCAGGCAGGGAATTTCACTCCATAGCCGTTCGCCATATAAATGTGGAAGCGTAACGCCTTGTGCGAATCTTTGGAATATTCATAACACAGGGGTGGAACCCAAGCCTACGCCTAGTCCCCCGATGATGGAAAGGGGAAGGCGAAATTAAATCGTGTAATTCCATCGCACGCTCTCCGTGATGTGTCCTGTAAACTACCGATAAGCAGACAACTTTACGGCGGTGTTCAAGGCTCTGCAGCTTCGCCTCCACTAATTACGAGTCACCTATAAGCTTCTTGGCATGGTTGTCAGTTGAATCCAAAGTGGCCAGTTGATATGTAGCACAGCCATTCCAAAGGTGGCAGCAGTACTCCATGCACGATCGGACTTGTGCTTGGTACAGCTGAAGCAACTGTCCCGGTGTAAAGTAACTAAGGTAAGCTAAACGCCTGTCCACAACAGTTGCAGTGTCACTCAGAGCTATAAATCGCAAAGATCTGCCACTGCCACTGCGCCCGTCACCCTGAGACATAAGTCGACAAGTCTCATGTGCCTGTAATTTCTCCAGCACTCTTACCCTTCAAAACTGGAGCCCAGTAATACTGACACTACTGCTTGGAGCCAGAAATAGGTAACGTGGCAATACTATCCTGGACGAACTCTTTCACAAGGAGTTCTACTGCTGCTAAATATTGAAAATTTGAGAGCAAAGCCTTGTTAACAGAGTTACCTAAGTTATATCCTGATACAGTGTGTAACAAAAACACCATATAAATGTTAGAAATAACAACGCAACGACTTCAATCTATAGACTCTTGTTCACATTCACAGCAACTACATATTCCAAACAAAACACTATCAATAGTGATAGTGTTTGTTTCAGTATTGAATTTTGTCAAAGAGTGTCAGTACCGCAGTACCGTGGACTGATGTGACAGTCTATGCCTATTGGGAATGAGCTAGGCAGGTAGATAATATTGAGTGTTTACCAATGTATCATGACTTATGGAGCCGCTACGTGGAATATGACGGTAAAAGTGGCTCACAGACTACACGTCACTCAGCGAGCTATGGAAAGGTCTATTATGCTGGGTATGTCGTTAAGGGACAAAGTCCGGAACGAAGTTATCCGGCATAACACTAAAGTAGTGGACATCGTCCAGAAATATAGCAAGCTGAAGTGGCAGTGGGTTGGCCACATCTGCTGCAGAACCGATGACCGATGGAGTAGACGGGTTCTAGAGTGGAGACCACGTCTCGACAAACGTGACGTAGGACGTCCCCTTGCAAAAAGGTCGCGGGTAGTGGTTGGATGTGGAAAACGGATGGTCGGGCACTATGGCGTACACTTGGGGAGGCTAATGTCCAGCAGTGGACTGCAATAGGCTGATTGATTGATTGATTGACGTTTCATTTTGCTTGG